TTTAAATAGAATTTGTTGAATTGTATTTTAGGGTGACTTTGGGCAGGTCACACTCTCTCAGCCTCAGAGGATGGCAGTAGCAAACCACCTCTGAAGAAACATGCCAAGAAAACCGTGTGATAGGTTTCCCTTAAGGTCATCATAAGTCGGACATGACTTGAAGGCACACAACAACAACACCTAAGAGCTTTCTGGTTGTGTGGTGTTTTTAAAAGCTTATATACAAGTCATCGTAACTCCCTATGCTTATATGAGATTTAGCATCCTTGAATTGTTTCAGCCTGTGAAATTTTTACTATTTTGACATCTGCTTTCCCATTGTGCAATCACAGCAACTAGTTGGTGGGGTTTTTTTTAGCACGTTACAATAAAACGGAATTGCAAAGTTTAAATAAAAACCTGATGCTCACTCAATTTAAGAACTACAAGGCTGATACTAAGTTTAAGAACTAAGTTTAAGAGCCACAGTGAAGAACTCCTTCAGAGGTGGGAGACTGAAGTGAAGAAGAAACAGGATGTATACAAAAAATGTATCTGGCATAGATAAACTCCAAGGGAAACTCTTCCCAGTAATACCAAAAAATGTGACTGTATAAACTGTTTATGGTCATGGAGGATGACGATGACATGCAAAAGGCCTTAAAGCAAGAAGAAGGGTGCTCTTGCTTCTCCTACCTGCACAAGTAGCTCACTGACCTCCCATGTGAAGATCAACATGGCAGCAAGGAACCTACAACATAGCTAGGGTTTCCAGATCTCAGGGACTAGGCCCTATTCTCAGGGTGAAAGCACTGCCTTGAAAAGTATGCATATATGTTTCCCTCATTGACAGACCTTGCATTTTTTTTTAATTTGAATGGCATACTCTGAGCAGCTGTGCTTGATGCACAATGAACCATGCTCAAGAACATCACCAGGGCCTACCTCCTTGGACATCACAAAGAGTCATCTTGTAGGTCCCATGTTCTGGCCCTGATATCCCAGGGACAGTCCTGACCCAACAACCTCAATGGCAAAGTGTAATGAGAGCCAATTCAACAAAAGAATTTTTGTGAATTGCAAAAATGTTCAAAGGATGGTATTACCTATCCTAACATCTGGACAACTCACTGCGGGAAGATAGGACCACATTAAAAGAGCTAGAATCTCCACTTCATTTGCAAAGTGGATGCAGTGAGGATTTTTAAAAATTTCTATATTAGGACTTACTCTTTGTGGATGATCCAAAAGTAGCTAGCAATCCAGAGTCAGGACCATTCTTCACATCAGTCCTTACTGGAGCAAATAGAGAGAGAGGGGCTCACAGCTCAGTGGCAGAGCATGGGCTTTGAATAAAGTCTTGGGCTGCATCCTCAGGATTTCTACTTTAAAAGGATCTTAGCTAGGATGCCGGGGATACATCCGAAGGAACTGCCGCCTTAAGCAAGTCATTATCCTTTAGCCTCAGTTCTACATCTGAAAAGCGGAAACAGCAGGAACGATTTCACAGAACGGATGAAGAAATTAATGAGATAAGAAATTGTGAAATGTTAAGGTCCTATGTTAAATATTCATTTCCAAAGGTTGGCAGAAAGTTTTGGAAAATGCCAAAAATGGTTTTGAATACATACTTTCAAAGTATGTTATTTCAGCTCTTAATTAGACTACATCTTGCCTGATAATTAGCATCATATCATACTGCAGATGGCATCTTTTTTCCTTTAAGGAAAATCACAGGAGCTTCGATATGTTGGCTTGTTCCCTTTCTTTAATGAGATCACATGCTCCCAAACCCTTAATTCCTCCTCTGTCTCCAACATTACTACCCTTAGTAATGCTACTCAGCTAGTATTTCCAACACTTCAGTTCCAAGTCAGCGCACTTGACCTTAACAAAGCTCAACTGGTTTGAAACAACATTCCTAATTGCTTTTTGGTTATAAAGATTAATTGATAGAAGAGCTCACGCAGGGCATTTACATAACATGTAGTACACAGAGGTAGTAAAGATCTACCACTCAGATGTGAAATGCCAGAATATCTGCTAGCAACCCTGTAATTTGCAGTACTCTCTTGAACCACGGGAAGCTGCTCCATTTGGCAGACCATCCATCCTTGATTCATCTAAGCCAGTACTGTCTGCTCTGACTGGCAGCAGTTCGGCAGCCTGGTTACCGGAAATGCTTTCAAATGGAGAAAGCCAACAAATAAACCCAAGGCCTTCTCCCTGCAAGGCAAACACTCTACAGCTGAGCTATGGGTCCCTACCCAACTGTATACTTGGCAGAGTAAGTCTCACAATTTGGCCAATAAAACAAACTCCACCAAGAACCACTCAAGCTTCAATGGAAAAGAGATGGGAAGGGCAGGTGAGAATACTGAGAACTGTTGCCTTTAGGTCAACAGCAACCCTGTTGTGAGATCAGATGAGACTGCTGCTTCAGGGAGAGCATTTGCTGTGCAACTGAATTATTGTTATTCTATTATTCTATTTATTTGTATCCCACCTTCTTCCAGCATAGGGACTTAATTAAGGTGGCTACCGAAGGAAGCATATGGGGACAAAGGGGTGCCATCTGCTCTCTCAGGCTGCATCCACATTGCAGAAATAATCTAAGTTGACATTACTTTAACTGTTGTGGCTCAGTGCTATGGAATTCTGGGAACTGTAGTTTTGTGAGACATTTAGCGTTACAGCTCTGCTGCCACGACAAACTACAATCGGTGTCAACCTGGATTACTCCTGCAGTGTGGATGCAGCCTCAGTCTCCTGTCCAAATGTTCCAGGAGTGAGCAAAAGGTGGGCAAAGAGTCTGAGAGTACTCTTGCGAAGCTCCTTTTTGAGTCAACGTTATTTCAGCAGACACTAGTCCACATTCACCATTGTGGGAAACACTTTCTGGCTTATCTGCCTCAGGCACCAAAAAAAGCTTGGTCGGGTCACACCTCAGCCTATGATCCTATGGTTTATGACTAATTTCTTTTCCGCACTACACAGCTATAGCACTTTGATCCTGCTTTAACTGCCAGAGCTAGATCCCAGGGAATCCTAGGAATTGCAGTTTGGGGAGGTGCTAGAGTTCTCTGGCAGAAAATTCTAAATACTTGAAAGTCCAGTTCCCAAGATTCCATAGGAGTGAGTTGTAGGATTTAAATGGGTATCAAAGTGCTATAATTGTGTCATGTGACACAGGGCCTATAAACACTCATGCGGAGTGACGAGATGTCTCCCTTTTCCATGACATTTCCTACACTTTAGCCTTATTTCTGGAGGAAATCCAAAATGTCCTCCATTTTTAGCATGTCTGAGAAGCATGGATTTGTACTTATATTAGTGTTTTTAGCTTTTATTATGTAATGCCCTACATTTTTTCTTGAATGTCCTACATTTTGCGGCGTCGTATCCTCCTTTGAGGTTATGACATCTGGTCACCTTGCACTTATGGCTCATATATGGGATGTTTCCGACATGTGGGAACTATTTTTCCTTTTAACTCTTGTGAACTGCTTTTTAATTTTTTAATTTAAATTTTCTTTTAAAATCTTGTGAACAACAGTGGCTTGCCTTCTTGGTTCAAGCCCCATTCCAAAGCCTACTCAGGGATGTAATTTCAGAATGTATTTGCCCCATTCAAATTTGTGTCTTCCACATCCAAAGACCACCTCTGCTCAGGTTGACTCACACACTGTGCTCCACTTTCTTTGAGAGCATGAAACAGTTAACCACACATCTGATTGCTCCATCTTATGGCCTCTCATCTTTTTGGCTCTGGAAGCAGGGTTGTCACTTTTCCTGCCTCTTTTTGTGATGAAACCTCATCCAACCACAAATTGGAGAAGTTAAAAGTCCACTCTGACATGCAATCGGCTGTAAAATGCTCATAGGTCCCACCAGGCATCATGGATATCACACTGGATTTGCAGAATGCAACCTCTGGATGGGGAGGAAGGTCCAAGTTCAAACGCTGCATCTTCATAAAGCTCAGTGAGTAGGCACTGAGCAGGTTGCTCAAGTCATACTAACTGTGAACAAGGGAGGAAAGATTTGAATGCTCACTGCTACTAGTACTGTGTTCTGTGAAGGTTGTATACCAGGGACCAGCAACCTACGGCCCGGGGGCTGGTTAAGGCCCCGGGCCCCGGACTTACCAGCCCAGGCCTAAGGTTGCCGCCATCGTCACCGCCACGCGATACCGCCGCTGCTGCGCGCCACCGCTGGGCCGCGTTTTCAGCCACGCTTGTCACGGCCGCCATTTTGGAAGTCAAAATGGCGGTTGCAACGCGTTTGCGCATGCGCAGTACTCTTGCGCATGCACAAACGCATCATGGCCACCATTTTGACTTCCAAAATGGCGGCCGTGACATGTGCCACGGCGGCTGTGGCCGCGCGCGCTACGGCGGTGGCCACGGTAGCGGCCACGGCAGCCACATGCACAGGGGGGTCACGCGTGACGGAAGAGGGTGCACGCGCGCACATGAGCGTGCGCGCCACCATTCCCCCCCCCTCGGCCCAGCCGAGAGGCAACCCTTTTGAGACCGGCCCAGGTCTCAAAAAGTTTGCCTGTCCCTGTTGTATACTGAGCTAAAGGATCTGAATTTTATAGCAACGGTGTCGGGTTCAGACAACTGGACTATGACCACTAGGCAACCAGGGTGTCCAAATTGCCCACGTGGCTACTGTGAAGAGAAAATGGGTAACAATCCCACCTGCTCAGCCTTAATGCATTTCTCAGAGGGCCTTAGTAGGAGTTACTCCTGGAAAGGCCATGGCTGGTTGACAGGGATGCTAAGGGATGTCCATCTGCTGAGTAGAGCAAGGCTAATAATAGGAAACTATTGCTGAGAAAGGCCAGAATCATAGATGCCATTTCATTTAATGATTTCCTTTAAGGTGCCACCCTCCAATTTATTTATAGCCCAGCATTTCCCCAGTTTTAGATTCAAGGCGGCTTAAACAACAGTTAAAACAGAGTGTAAAATTAACAGCATGCAAAAATTTAAAAAGTAAATAAACCATTGAGAGCCAGCGTGGTATAATGGTTTGAATGTTAGACTATGACTCTGGAGGCCAGGGTTCAAATCCTGGCTCAGCCATGCAAACCCACTGGATGACCTTGGGCAAATCACACACTCTCAGCCTCAGAGGATGGCAACGGTAACCCTCCCCCCCCGAAGAAACTTGCCAAGAAAACCCCATGACAGTTTCACCTTAATAACAATAACAACAACAACAACAACAACAACAACAACAACAACAACAACAACAACAATAAAATTTATTTATATCCCGCCCCCCTGAGACCAATTGGGGCGGCTTACAGTGTTAAAGTACAATATATCCAAACCCCATTCCCTCCCTCCCCTTAAAACAATATTAAATCAGATAAGAGTTAAAACAAACAAATTAAAACAACAACATAGAATATATGCAGCTACGGCCACGAGTATCTGCGACAGTAATATAGGAGTACAGCGGTATTATCTTTAAGCTAGGAGGACTCTGGAGGAGTCTCCTAAGAGGTTCCTGAGGCTGGTATGGTCTATTCTGGAAAGGCCTGCCGGAAGAGATCCGTCTTGACAGCCTTTTTAAAGCTGTCTAAAGATGTCAATTGACGGATCTCATCCGGCAGGCCATTCCACAGTCTGGGGGCGACCGACCTTAGAGTCGGTCACTGTACGTCGGAAATGCCTTGAAGGCACACAATAGCAACAACCAAAACAAAATTAAACTATCATAAAATCTGAAACCAGTGAAAACAAAGTAAAAGAACAACAACAAATAAAAGTCCAGCACAATATACAAGGCCTGTTTCCCCTGATAAAATCAGTTCTCATGGGCCTGCAGGAATAAAAAGGTATTCACTTAGAAAGATAGTAAGGAGTGGGCCAGCCTCGCCTCTTTGGGAAGAGAGTCCCTGGACCTGGGAGCGGTCAGCAAGAAGGCCCTGTCTCCCATGTTCCCACCAAACGTACCTTTGAAGCAGGAAGGACAGAAAGCAGGGCCTTCCCAGAACAGCTCAAACCACAAGCTGGTGCAACCCTTGGACGATTTGAAATCCTCTTGGGATTGGCCACCTCTCGTTGGGGAAAGACAGGGCATTACAATTATGCATATAATTATTTATATTTGTATTTATATAATTACATAAATATAATAAACTGACAAACAAGCAAACAGGACAGCCACATACAGTGTACAATTGCGCTGAAGTTGAACAAGCGCCAAGATTCAAGACCTTCCAGGGAACAGACAGAACTCACCACTGAGTTCTTTGGAAGTCAACATGGTATGTAAGTCAAATATATAAAATAATGGCACACCAGTAAGTCAAAAAAGTGCTAGAGAAGTGATTTAGCAGTCACAATCTTTCCAACAGAAAAAAAATAATTAGGGTTGCAGCCTTTACGCAAACACTCCAATTCAAGAGGGAACGCAGGATGCCATTTCCCAACATTTTAATGATGTTTGAGCAGAGAGCAATTAGAACAGCACTTTCAAGAGAAAACACTACAGGAGATGAAAGGTCAGGGCCAACTGATTACAACGAAAAAGGGCTGGGAGAAACTTAAACTGTGGCACACACATTTTATACTGAGCAATATTTTATTCCCAGGTAAACAATCTTAATAGTCAAGACCTGCTTACCTAACAGCATCTTACTTTGAAACGCGCAGCAGTATGCGGGACCTCCACCAGGAACACACTTTCCGTCTAAGCATCTGGACCATGTTATCAAGCGCTGTGGAAGTAGGAGAAATCTGCAAGTCTAATTACACCTTGGGATTACTAATGCGGCATGCTCTAATAAATACTCCCCGCAGCATCTGCTGATCTAATAAGTGGCACTAGAAAATAGCACATGCTTCTCTATGTGGCTATTAGCGCTCACTGATTAAGAGCCTGGCAAGGCAGTGGGCTGTGTCAGGCACAGCGGAGGGAAAGGGAGGAGGAAAGATTGAGAAAGGCAGGGAGGATAGTGCCAATCTCCCCAGCAAGCATCTCTCAAGGAACAAATCCACCTATTCCTTCGCAATACTAGCATGATCTAAGGTTACGTCTAAAGATTAAGCTGCTTCCTCTCGACATAGCCAGGGTTAGCCATATTGGCCATACAGCAAAGTAAAATAACATCTACAATTTACAAAACAGCCAAACCGTTGTTGTTGTTGTGTGCCTTCAAGTTATTTCCAACTTATGGTTTCCAACTTATGATAAGCAGTGGTTAAATGCCAGTACTGCAGCTACAACGTTGTGAGTTCAATCCTGAGGGTCTCCAAGATCAACTCAGCCTTCCATCTCTGTTGGGGGCAATTGGTTTACAGATTGTAAACCACTTAGAGACTGCTAAGTTCACTATTAAGTGGTACAGAAATGTAAATGCTATTGCTAAGGTGAACCTATCATGGGATATTCTTGGCAGGATTTGTTCAGAGAAGTTTGCCATTGCCTTCCTTGAGGCTGAGAGCATGTGACTTGCCCAAGGTCACTCAGTGGGTTTCCATGGCCAAGCTGGGAATTGAACCCTAGTCGCCAGAGTCGTAATCCAACACTCAAACCGCTATGTCACACTGGCTCTTGATATTTTTGTTAGGCCAATCAACATGCACAAAATACATCATGCAAGCTTTCAAAGCTCCATTGGCTTCTTCATTAGGCATTAGGCAAAGGTGTCAAAAATTATACAGCAGAAAAAAATATGACAATTTTAAGAATCACAGGCCTACATTTTGTCAAAGTGTTGTTCTCAATTAAGATGGTATGGAGGAATATTCATGTAGGCAGGCCACTCTTCCTTCTGGCCATGTGGGTTTTGGGAGATAAGGAGTCATAAAGTCCAGAAAATAAACTGTAAACTCCAGTAGCAACACAAAAGGATACTTCCTTTGAGATCCAGGTTGCATCTGAGGAAGTAGATTCAATTCTTCAAAAGCCCATCTTACTTTTAGTTAGGACAATAGTGCACTACACTGTCGTATCACTATTGTTCCACTTTTACTGCTATGGCTGCCTCCTGCAGAATTCTGGGATTTGTAGTTTAGGGAAAGGCATTTAGAATTCTCAGCCAGAGATAAACCTCAGAATGCCTCAGGAGGCAACCATAGCAGTAAAAATTGAATAATAGCACTGTAACAGTGTGGTGCGGTATTCCTAGATCCAAGATCCATTTGCACACTGATTTTCCAAACTAACACAGCTATGTCTTTTTATTGTTTATGTCCGTAGCAAAAGAAAGGAGAAGGAAATGGTATGGTCACTGCACAGAGAAGATGGAGAAATCCTAACGGGACAGAGAAAAGGCAGAACTACTCAACACCTTCTTTGCCTCAGTCTTCTCCCAAAAGGAAAAGGGTGTTCAACCTGAGGAAAATGGAGCAGAGGACACAATAGGGGAAATGCAGCACAGAATAAGTAAAGAGGAAGTACAGGAATACCTGGTTAACCTAAATGAATTTAAGTCTCCAGGACCAGATGAATTACATCCAAGGATATTAAAAGAACTGACAAATGTAATCTCAGACCACCGGCAATAATAATCTTGGAGAACTCTTGGAGAACAGGAGAAGTCCCAGCAGACTGGAGGAGGGCAAACATTGTCCCCATCTTCAAAAAGGGGGAAAAAGAGGATCCCAACAACTATTGCCCAGTTAGTCTGACATCAATACCGGGAAAGATTCTAGAACAGTTCATTAAACAGAGAGTCTGTGAACATTTAGAAGGGAATGCCATAATCACTAAAAGCCAATATGGGTTTCTCAAAAACAAGTCATACCAGACTAATCTGATTTCTTTCTTTGATAAAATTACCAGCTTGGTAGATGAAGGGAATGCAGTAAACATAGTATATCTTGATTTCAGTAAAGCTTTTAACAAGGTCCCCCATGGTATCCTTGCAAAAAAGATAATAAAATGTAGGCTAGAAAATACAACTGTTAGGTGGATTAGTAACTGGATGTCTGACCGAACCCAAAGGGTGCTCAGCAATGGCTCCTCTTCTTCTTCATCCTGGAGAGAAGTGACCAGTGGGGTGTCCAGTGGGGTTCTGTCCTGAGCCCAGGGCTCTTCAACATCTTTATCAACGATTTGGATGAAGGAATAGGGGACATGCTTCTCAAATTTGCAGATGACACCAAATTAGGAGGGATAGCTAATACCCCAAAAGACAGGATGAAAATTCAAAATGACCTTACTAGATTAGAAAGCTGGGCAAAGCTAACAAAATGAATTCCAACACAGAGAAATGTAAGATGCTGCACTTAGGGCAAAAAAATGAAATGCATAGATCTAAGATGAGGGACACCTGGCTGAATGAGACTCCATGTGAAAGGGATCTAGGA